AAACAATCTTCTACCCCTCCATCAAGAACTAGTCATTTGGTCCATGCTTCCAAGTGAAGCCAGCCATGGTCGAGCAGGATCTTTGACTTATCTTCACATAGACAGAACTGGTAAAAACAAAAGGAGCCAGGTGCTCCTCCCAAGCCCATGTTACCCTGAGGGACAGATCCTCAAACGACCTTAAGAGTAAAAATAAATTGGTTTATCTGGGCCAATTGTAGGGTCTTAAACACCCAAAAGGAAAGTATAACCAAGGATTAATGGGGTCAATATAATTTTTAAGAGTCCATATGTATAGCTAAAGGCTGCATAACAAGAAACAATGCCAGACAGGAGATACCTTCCTTTGAGTTATGGGCCAGTGTCTTAGTTTGTTCTTCATGGCTGTGACAAAACACTCTGACCACTACCAACTTGGGGAGGAAAGGGTTTATTTATCTTACATCTCCCGGGTCACAGTTCATCAGGGAGCCCAAGGTAGGATCAGGGCAGGAACCCAGAGGCAAGAGCTGGAGCACAGGCCATGGAGGAACGCTGCTTACTGGCTTGCTCCCCTGGCCCCTGCTCAGCCTGCTTTCTTATGCAACACAGGCCCACCTGTCCAGGGGTGGCACCACCCACAGTGGGCTGGGCCCTCCCACATCACTCATCAAGAAGATGCCCTTCAGACATGGCCACAGGCCAGTCCAATAGAGGAAATTCCCCAATTGAGAACTGGGATCCCAGCACCTAGATCAGGCAGCTCACAAACACCTTCCAGCTCTAAGGGATCTAATGCTCTCCTCTGGCCACCATGGGTACCAACAGACATGTATAAACATTCATACAACACACATGCACACACACACAAAACACGTGTACATATTCACTCAACCACACACACATGATGTACTCACATCACACACACACTCATACACTCATACACATCCACATGCTTATGACTCACAGCATACAAACGTGTATACTCACACACCACACACACACTTACACACACATGCACGTACACTCACACCATACCACACATAAACACAGTGACATACACATGTGCATACACACACACAGCACACACACATACACACACTGACACATATAGAAATAAATGTAATAAAGTTTTAAAGAACTAGTCAGTAAACTAAGAAAAAATAACAACAATGATGATAACCAAAACCAACTAAATGAGAACAGAAGTTGAAGAAATACTTCGGGATATTTTGAAAGGTACAACTCTACTTTCTTGACTTAGAAATGTGAAAACAAAGTATGTCTTTGGTCTTTTTGAGACAGGGTCTCCCTGTAGCCACAGCTGCCTTGAACTCACAGAGATCTGCCTGCCTCTGCCTCCTGAGTGCTGGGATTAAAGGCAGGTGCCATCACGCCCGCAAGGATGCTGTTTTTCTGCAATTCCAGGATGTCACAATTACTTACTACTGAGTGTGCACATTACATAATGACATAGCTGGGAGATGCCAGTCTTTTCACCTCCAGTCTAGCAAGGGAACAAGAGAGGAGAGCAAGCTTTTGAGGTAGGAGATGTGCTGGTGGAACTCTTGGTGGGTGGAAGTCTGGTGGGTCCTTTGGGGGACAAAGGAGCAGTCAGGAAAATTGAGCGAGTGGGAAAGGAAATTTCAATGTGTACAACGAAACTGCGTGTTTCAGTCCACCCTGGAGATGTCCTAAAAGACAAGCAACTGTCTGAACTATGTTGACATTGCTTTTGTAGGACCGAGTATATTTCTTTTATAGACATGACCTCAAAATCAAAGAACACAATTCTGACTTTATCAAGGTTCAAAAACATGGCATTTTTTTCCAAACCCAAACACAGCCTCAGATAAGAGAAAAGCTGCATCATATAAATCAATCTTGTCCACTCACTGTTTAATAAAAAATCACTGATTTTACCAGCCCTCTGCCCACATCTCCACCCTCACAAACTTACTTGGGATCCATGTCTTGATAAAAATGTATCTTGTGAAATTTACAAGCTGCATTACTTCTTACGCAACTAGGAGTGGTGTCCTTAGCAGTTGAAACAACTGAAGACGCTGTTTTGGGAGACTCTCCCAAGATCTTCCAGCCCCTCAAGGGCTGACCCCAGTTCACCTGCACTGCCGCACTACAGGCACACAGCCTACATTTGCTAGGGTGGGAACAAGTGAGTCAGTGTGGCTGGGAGCAGCACACAGAGCCCTCCCCACCCCACTGTGCTCCTCAGTTCTCTCTGGCAGCCCTTCAGGGGATTTTAGGCTGTTCAAAACCCAGGGATTTTTGTGACAAAAAGAAAAAAATCAAGGACTGGAAAGATGCCTCAGTGGTTAAAAGCACTGGCTGTTTTGGAGGAACTGGGTTTGGTTCCCAGCACCAACATGGAGCCTAACAACTGTCCTTAATTCCAGTTCCAGAGATCCGACGCCCTCTTCTGGCCTCTCTGGGCATTACACGACATGGGTGTACTTATATATATGCAAGCAAAACACTTATACAAATAAAATAAAAATCAAGGTGACTTACTGAAATCGAACACTTCTGTGCTGTTAATGATAGTATCATAAAACCAAAAGAAAGCTTTGGTGCCAGGACCTGAAATCGCAGCACCATCAAAACCCTGGGCAGGAGAATGCAGTTGAGGCCAGCCCTAGCTACACAGTGAGACCCTGTCTTAAAAAAATAATAACTGCCATGCTTGCAGGCACATGCCTGTAATCCCAGCACTTAGGAGGTTGAAGCAGAAGGATTACAAGTTTGCAGCTATAACTTTGAACTACATAACCAGTTCCAGGCCACCCTGAGCTATACAGAAACCCCATCTCAAAAAAAAAAAAAAAAAAAGCCAAGTGAAAAAATAACTCAGAGAAAAGGAGAAAATTTTACTTATAAGAAACTTGTAGCCAAAATGTATATTTTAAGTCGTACAGTAAGTGCATAATCGAATTTTTAAATGGGAAAGAGTGCTGAAGACATTTCTCCAGAGATAGAAATGACCAGTAAGCTCATGAGAATGTGCCCAAAGTCATTATCACTAGGGAAACACAAGTCAAAAATGGTAGCATGCCACTTCATGCCCAGCACCATGGCTATAATCAAAAACATCAACAGTGCTAAGGAGGACATGGAGACCGGAGCCTTTATGCTTTGCTGAAGGAAATATGAAACAGTGAAAACATTTTGGGAACCAGTCTTGGCAACTGGTCAAAATGTTCAACAGTCGCTGGTTAATCCAGCATTTTACTCCTTGGTATCTCCCCACAAGATCTGAAAACATATGAACAACTAGTATGGGTCCATGACTGCTCGAAGTCAAAAAACAGAAACTCAGGGCCAGGGGGTTCCCATGCCTTGTAATCCCAGCACTTGGTGAGATAAAGACAGGAAGATCATGAGTTCAAAGTCATCCTGGGCTACATAGCAAGTTCAAAGCCAACCTGGGCAATGTGAGACCTTGTCTCAAAAAACAAAAACAAAAGAACACAGAGACAGAGAGGCAGAGATCACCATCAACTAATAGAGAAATAAAATGTGGTATATCCACACATCAGAGTATTATTCAGCCAAAAAAGGGAGAGAAGCTCCAACACCGTGCTACACACATCTGGTGCTTCTTTAAAAGCCAATCACCAGGGGCTGGAGAGATGGCTCAGCAGTTAAGAGCAATGGCTGTTCTTGCAGAAGACACAGGTTCAAATCCCAGTGCCCACATGGTGGCTAACAACCATCCATAACTCCAGTTCAGGGGATTCAATGCCCTCTTCTGTCCGCCAAGGGCACCGCACAACATGGGTGCACTTACACACATGCAAGTATAAATAACCCTCATACATATAAAATAAAAATAATCAAAAAGAAAGTTTTTAAAAAGTCAATTGCAAAAGGCCTTATATTTTATGATGCTATTTACATTAAATGTCCAGAACAGGCAAATCATCCATAGAAGCAAAAGCATTAGTAGTTAAAAAGTGCCAAGCACATGGGAATGGGGAATAACTCTCAAGAGATGCTGAGTTTATTTTAGGGGTAGCAAACATGTTCTCAAGGTGGACTGCAGTGACGGTTGCACAAGCTGCGAATACTGTGTACTGTGAGTGCATTATGCCAATAAAGCCATTCAAAAGAATCAACTGGTCATTGGGCATGTTGGCACACACCTGTAGTTCTCACATGTGGAAAGCTGAGACTGAAGGACCATGAGTTTGAGGTGAACCTGGGCTACAGATGGAATTCCAGGCCAACCTAGACTATACAGAGAGACCTTATCTCAACAACTCTAAAATCAGGCCAAGTGTTGGTTCATGCTTATAAACCCAGTACAACCTGGGAGGCCAGGGCAGGAGGATCACTAGAGTGAAAACCTACCTGAACAAATGAACCATTAAGAGCCGTCTTGAACACCTTTGCCTTTGTGCTCGGATGTGCTCCTTTACTTTCCTGCAGGGGCTGAACTACATCCTCATATACCAATGTCATGTTTTCAATAAACTACATGGCAAAAATGAGGGAAAAAAAGAATAGCACTTTGGAAAATGTAGTGTGTAATAAAGTTCACACCACAGCTATGAAGCCAATCCAAATAAACAACTACATTTTAAATTCTGTCAAGGTCTACAAGTAACTTTAATATCGTAGTAACTTAATGCTTAAACAGAAACACATGTAATAAGGAAACAGCAAATTAAAGTGCTTTGCGTAGTTCAGAAAAACAGCGTAAGCAGAGTACAGCTTCTGTTGTATCACATTTCATAGCAATTTGTGCAACATTTAAATGCACATTATGGTTATTGTAATTTTTTTTTTTGTCTTTTTGAGACGGGGTCTCTCTGTAGCCCCAGCTGGCCTGGAACTCACTATGTAGACCAGGCTGGCCTCGAACTCCCAGAGATCCACCTACCCTGCCTCCTGAGTGCTGAGATTAAAGGCGTACGCCACCATGCCCGGCCAGATCTTATTTTTAACCTTCTCTTGATTTGTCACCCCCTCCCACAAAAATAAAACCAATGAGATTTTCCAACAGAATTCATTTTATTATTCCAATACAAGAAAACAATTCTTCCAGGTTTATTTCCAATTTCAGTTTCAAAACAAACTGACATGAGTTTTCAGACTTCAGTATCTGTGGTGGTGAACAATAAAATGTATAGTATAAAAAAATGAACCCATGCTTTGTAGTAGTTAAATTCAATGAACAACAATCATTTCTACCTAAAACATTTTTCTAAAACTGCAAACTAAACCTCTAAGTTAAAGCACCCATGCGGTGGTAATTCCAGTCACGCACATTGTACCAGACTGTAGATACTGTGCTTCCTCAAGTACTGCTGTGTTCCATTCTGTTCAGCTCTGTGTTTTGTAACGTCCATTTCACAGATCAATCAAGATACAAGTGTGTGCAAATACAACCAGCTATAAAAGGGAAGTCTGACTTTATATGCTGAGCATCACAGTTGCAAGGAATGCCTCTTTACAGAGTTATTAAAATGCATGTTTTCACTGAGCCATTATTTCAAGAGCCCAATTATTAGGTTAAATAATATTTTAGGTTTCTTTGGATATTAAATACCATGCAGTCTACCATTTAAGAGGAAAAAAAAAAGATTAACTTAAAGGCAAAATTCACTTAATTTCTGCATTCTCCCCAATTAAAATGCAGTCATTAATTCACTTGAAATTATGCATTTAAGTTGAAATGGATACTAAAATTCCAACAGAAGTGTAAATATCCCTAATTAGCTTAAAACCCTGTATTCCCAAAACACTGTAGTGGGCAAACTGCTCCAGGGAAACGTCCTCCACAGGGCAGAGTAAAGGAATGCCGACAACCGCGGCTTAGTCAGGGTCATGCACTGTTTTCTGGGTGAAAGGTGAATCTCAGCCCTTTCTGCACACCTGGGAAGTCCAGAGCCAAGTCAGAGAGGACCATCAAACTGAAATACTCCGAACTTGCCAGTGGTCAGCCAGGTGGGCTCGGAAGCCATGAGCTGCTCAGCTTGTCCAGGCCGCAGCCCAACCTGAAGCTCGGCTTTCAGCGTTCTTATGCTGCACAGAGGCGCAGGGTGGAAGCCGCTCAGGGCCTGATGAAATGGAACCGTAAACCCCCATTTTCTGTCTCCTGCCAACTTCCTGTAATTCAAGTCACCCTTGAAAAAAATTAAACATGCCTTTTGTAATTCTGCATATAAGTCAGAGGCCACCTGGGGCATTGCACAGTATGAGTGAGGCAGGGTCCAAAATATATGATCATGGTAAATCCATCTTCCTATTTTAATATAGTTCTCCCAGTTAACCCCACATGTGGACATCAACTCATGATTACTGTGTTTTACTTGTTCAATTGTCCAATTGAAGTCATGTACAGTAACATCAGAAACAAACCACGGAATCATTTTTCCATGAAAATGAATCTCAGTAGCCAATTCAGAGGACAACAAGAAGTCAGCTAATATTAAGTCTGTAATAAGTTCAAATCCAGAATTATCCAGAACAATATCCACTCGAACTACAGCCGCTTTTTCGCTAGTTTTCTTGCATTTACTAAGCAATGACCAGAGACATTCCATGTCATTCACTATAATGAACGGTTTTAGGTCTTCCAAAGAGCTGATCACATTGGTTTTCTGAGAACTACTTTCTCCACCTGACAGAGACAGATCACATTTGTTCCCCCAGAGAGAAACCTGGAAAACAAAGTTTTAACAGTCATCACCAAAAAAACTCCATTGTGCAGGTTGCCTAAAATAGACATTTTTATAAAATTCTTGAATCACCAGTGTTCCTAACAGCTGAGCCATCTCTCCAGCCCCAAATTCATACTTTCTCTAATAATACAATGTTTACATAACTTGATATAAATAAGGTAAAACACTGATTTTTAGTGAATATATAATTCACTTATAAAAATTTTTTAAGTAATTTTTAGCACCTACATTGTTTACTCAGATACACAGATATTAAAACGTCACCAGATACTGTAAAGAGACTCAGAATTTATTTTATCATTGAGACTCAAGAGAAACACAAACATCCCTTAACTCTCTACCTCTCCAAATTGCTCTTTTACTAACTGAATAATCTTTAGGAGGACAGGGCAATCTGAGACCCAGTTTTCTGACTGCAGAATGAAACTGGCCACAGAAACCTAATCCTTTAGACAAGGCAATGTTAAGTACAGGAGCACTATAATGCTTTATTATTTAGCTTAAAACTGAAGTAATACTCATTGGTATTTTGTAAAAAAATGGTATGTAATCCTACTTTTTAAAAGCAAAGCAGGACTACAGGCTCTGAAGTCAGACCTGGATTCAAACCTCAACTAAAGATCACTAGCAATTACCGGGTATGCATGCCTTTAGTTCCAGCACTCAGGAGGCAGAGGCAGATGGATCTCTGTGAGTTCAAGGCCAGCCTGGTCTACATAAAGAGTTCCAGGCCAGCTGGAGCTTAAAAAAAAAAAAAAAAAAAAAAAAAAAAAAACAAAGGTACTCAAGCCAAGCATGGTGGCATACACCTTGGATGCCAGCACTTAGGAGACAAAGGTAGGCAGATCTCTTTAAGATAGAGGCCAGCTTGGTCTACATAGTAAGTTCCAGACTAGCTGTGGTTACTGGGAGACCCTGTCTCAAAAAGACCAAAAAAAGGTCTCACTCTCATCTCCCTTTGCTTCCTGGGCTGCATAGTCTCCAGTGTCCTGGTACTAGCACCTTCCTGAGGTAAGTCCAGTGCACCCACCACACCTTAACGCCCCCAGCCTCTTTCACCCTCCCAGCTCCCCCACCACGTCTCTCCTCCTAGTCTGGGTACAGGCCCATCTCTTGTCTTGGGACCCCATACACCGGGGTTAACCTCTCGGCCCAGAGCCACCACTGCTTCCTGATCCTTTGCATCCAGACCAACCCAGTTCCTCCCTGTGGGCCCCCAGGAGCCCTCTGGGCCTGGTCCTGCTCTCGCCTCCCTTTACTTCCCTAGGTGGCACAGCCACCAGCTTCCTGAGACTAGCATCTATGCTGGGCCTTTCTCTCAGGCGAGCCCAGCCCCCAAATTCCTGAGGGCAGCATCTTTCCTGAAGAGACCGAGATCTTAGGAGAAAACCTGAGAGCATCTGAGCCTCATCTCACTTGGCCCTCCATGGGAACTCCTGAAGACAAAAGCAATTAGGCCACTCTAATATAAAATCAAAAAAGAGAACCTGAAGCCTAGACCAACCAGCTTTTCATGCCCAACAAGTAAACCACAAAGGCACTAAAGTTTACAAAAAGAAGCAGATCTAAACTCAACAAAGGAAGGCTTGAGTCTCACACAAGAATCAGAAACTACAAAAGAAATTCACATGTCAAAATCACAGAGAAAAAATAATAACATGAAAAACCAAAGTAATATATCCCCACCAAGTACCAATAGTCCTCTAGAGAAGTACAGTGAGAACTGCCCAACTCCAGATTCCAGTCCAAAGGACTGAAAACGCATAGCAAAAGTCTCAACCAGTAAGCTAACTCAGATGCCCAAGTCTCATCAGAGAAACGCAAACAGCACAGACAACAGACAATGCTTCCCATGAAAATATCCAAACATATGCTAGTCCCCTAAAGAGAACAACTTAGAGATAACATAGGACATGGAACTCAAAAGAATAATTATAAGCATGATAAAATAATTCAGTGATTTTAAAGAACACATAAAAAAAAAAATCAAAGAACTGAAGGAAGATAGGGATAAACTTCTGAATGAATTCAGAAGAGTTAGAAATACTGAAGAATACTCAGGCTGAAAAGAAGAAGGAAGTGAAACACTCAGTAAGCCAATTAGAAACGACAGGAGAAAGCCTCACCAATAGGCTGAATGAAATGGAAAACAGAATATCAAGACTGGAAGATAAAGTAGATGATTTAGACCACTCAAGCAAAGATTATGAAGAGTTTAAGAAAACAAAAGAATGGAATATGCAAGAATTGTGTGACACCATAAAAAAAACCAAACTTACAAATCATTAGGCAAACAGGAAGGAGAAGAATCTCAAGATAATAGTATGGAACAGATCTTCAACAGGATTGGAGAAGAAAATTTCCCAAAATTAAAAAAAGAGATGCCCATACAAATATAAGAAGCATAGAGAACACCAAACAGAACCAGAAAAGAAACTCTCCACAGCACATCATAGTAAAAACTATGTAAACTAAACATTCAGAACAAAGAGACAATACTGAAAGCTGCAAAAGAGAAACAACAAGTCACATATAAAGGAAAACCCATCAGGATTCAGTGGACTTTTCAGTGCAAACTATGAAAGCCAACAGAGACTGGACCAAAGTAGTCTCAGCTCTAAATGACCACAGATGCCAACCCAGATTACTATACCCAGCCAAAATGTCTATTATAGTTGAAGGGGAAAGAAAAATCTTCCGTGACATAAATAGGCTGAAAGATTTCATATCCACAAAACCAGGCCTTCAGAGTTCTTGAAGCAATACAAAGAGCTGAAGAAAGGATCAACTATACACAAGGGGTGATGGAAAGAAATTCAATGAAGGTATAGATGTGGAAATGCACAGCTATATCAAGAATGTGAACAGAAGTAAAAATGACAGGATTCAATACATATCTTTCATTAATAACTTTAAATATCAATGGACTGAACTCCCCAGTCAAAAGACACAGACTAGGTGAATGGATTAAGAAACAAAACCCATCTTTTTGTTGTCTGCAAGAAACTCATCTCACTTTCAAGGACAGGCACTATCTTAAGGTGAAAGGATGGAAAAAAATATACCCAGTGAATGGTACTAAGAAAAAAGCAGACATTGCAATTCTGATATCTGATAAAATACACTTTAAACTAAAACTAATCAGAAGAGACAAAGATGGCCACTTCATTTTGACCAAAGAAACAATAAACCAAGAAGATATTACCATCATGAACATATATTCACCAAACTCTGGTGCACCTAACTTCATAAAAACAGTACTAAAAGACTTTAAGACATAGATTAATGCCAACGCACTAATAGTAGGGGAGTTTAATATCCC